ACAATCGCAAAAAAAAAAAAAAAAAAAAAAAATTATCACACGATGACGTTGAAATTTTAATTTAGCAACCCAAGTAACAGTTTGAGAAACATCAACTCACAAAAAAAAACTTAGAAATTAAGGCTTCAGCATCTAACTTTCAAAGAGAGAAGAATGTATGAAGTCGACGACATACTGTTAATTCAAAAACTTCCAAATGACCAAAGGCTTAATCTCAAGTAAAAGAAGACCACACATATCTATCACAGTTTGGATATAAATAAGTGGTAACAATAGTGGTCTAACATGTCTAGAAAGTAGTTAAACTTGTGGTTTAGACAGAAATGCGACCCTCAGCAGTTGATTTAATTTAGACCCAAGTTGGGATTTCAAAGATTTCACAAAAGCCTGTGTAATATACAAACCTTGATCGGGATTCTGCTGAACAAATAATCTGTATCCACTGGAATTAACGATTTCTTCCATGTGTGTTAGGACAAAGAATGTCGCCCAATCCTTCAAAAGGTTGTCTGAATGGATCGTGGACATCTCAAGAATGTCGAGAACGTTGCTCAAAGTCGTAGTCGACTTAAAATGGTCTCTGCAAAGCTCTTGGAGATATGGTATGTCATATTTGTCAGCAGCAACATAGAGCGCTCGAATGTGTTTGTTGGTGGGACTCAAGATCCCGCTGTAGAAGAACTCGAGAAGAGCCTTGAGTTCCTCATAACTCAAGTCAGGAATAGTGATTGATTTCTCTACTGAAGTTTTGCATTCATCAGAGTCCAACATGTAGCTAAACACTTTCGACTTCGCTGCCTGTGGGATACACAACAAAATTCAGTCAAAAGTGCATATAGACGTACTAAGTAAAAGTCGCATATGAGCATTTTATATGCATACGAACTGCAGACTGCACATGAATTTGGAGTTTCACATGAATATGATAGAGGAATCAATATCTAAATTGCATGTCTATTCAATCAAGTTGTCTTTACCTATATGCTTATTGGTTTGAAATCACATATCTCATGTGTATTTCATCCATATGAATTTCAGTAGAGTGAAAGTTACCAACTAATGTCAATATAGCAATGCTTATAAGGTTACAGGAAACATATAAACAATGAGACAAAACAATATTGTAATTAATACTTGAGTAATAAAAAGTGTATATAGGTTCTTCTACTCCCTCAATCTAATTAACTTAGCCAACTATGAACTAAACATCCAGAGAAAGTTAAAATAAAATAAAAAACTAAATCTATACACTTAAAAAACATGACTATTTCTCACAAAACTTTCTGAGGAAAGAAATTTCCGACAGTTGCAAGACGGGTTCGCTATGGATTTAATCGTATCTATATAGACCAATTCTCCCATGCATGTATATTTAGGGGATTAAATTCAAGTTTAGAGATGTTACCAAAATAGTTTTGTGAGCAGGAATTCCAGGCCCATCACCAGCAGATTTAACAATAACATCAGTGTGTACACTATTTTTAAATGCTAAAACACAATCACCGAGAAAATCCACTCTATCCAATTTCCTCTTTCTCGTGTCTGTCATTGCTTCTTCCTACATGGAAAATAAGAAACATACTTATCATTGTAATACAATTGTAATACACCCTGGGTTTCAGTTTACATCTTTTTCTTTTTCTAACGCTTAGAGTGAGTTTATATCCTATATGTACACATATTCAGATTCAAAACCCTAAATCTAAAAAACCTAAAACCATAAGCTAACGATGCCACAAAAACTGTCAAATTACGACTCCCCTAAACCCTAAAATTACGATGCCGAATCAGCCGTTCGTATTTAATTCAATCGAAGCTAAATTGGTGGTACGAGGATACAAGAAAACTCTATAAATCAAGCAATATCAGGGACAAGACTAAGAAACTCTTTTCACAATAGAAATAATATTCTAGCGTTATATCAAAATAAATAAGAGCGATGATCACTTTATGAATCTGGAGGAAAACTAATTGACCTTGACAAAGTTGATAAAAAGGAAGACGAGAAGAAGACTTCTAAAGTGTCGGCGTCAATGAAAGAGATGAGGGTTTGCCAAAGTTTTTTTTTTTCTTTGGGTCAAAAACTTCCCCATTATATACTCCATATATATAAAATAATCGTGTTACCGCAACTGCCCTATATTGGGGGTGATTGGTTGGGTTGTAAGTGCTGACTTTAGCTTTAATTTTTATCTACAGCACTTAAATCACCAATCATGCTTTATCTTATTTTTTAAAACTACAACCAAAAACTAAAAAAATGGCTGTAAAATCCTTATTTTTTAAAGCCATATCTTTTTTGATGTAGAAAATATGTTGCTGTAGCAATAAATTTTAAAGGTACATATCTTACAGCTAAATCAAAAAACTCTACAGACTAATTTCTACAGTAAAACTTTTACAGCTACAGTTCAACCAATCCTCCTCAATTGTTTTCCTTAATTTCTAAACCTTGATCAGTAATTGTTAATTTCCTTAAAACTTTTACATCAGGAAATAGCAAAGTGTTGGTACGATAGAAAACTATAATATCTATTCTATTAAAATAGAACTACACAATATAATTTACCAAATTTTAAGTGTTCTATTATAATATTATTTTTTCACTCATTCTAATTAGTTCATTAATTATCTTCATCATAATAATTATGAACATATTTATTAATCCTTTTTCCAAGTGTTGATTACAGATTTTGTTTTAAGACATTAATTACTCTTATATTTCAGTATTAATTATTTTTTGTCATTTAAACAAAAAAAAATTACCTAATCCTCTATTTTGTAGACTAAATATTAACTTACAAAAAAATATTAAAAACCAGATCAAGCTCTTATATTAAATTTAGTATTGAAGACAAGAAAATCATTGACTAATATATATAAAATAAAAAAATTTAGAGATGTAATACTTTTTTTTTCTTTTTAATAGGGGCCACGCAGACGCAGATGATCTGCTGCGTATCCCAACTGACACAAATAATGACGCAGAGTATCCCACTTGAGGAGACCTTAAGCTACGCACCTCTAGGTTATGTGCAATGGAGGTCACTAGCTTAGGCCACTCATCTTCTTGATCATGAGTTGACCCCTTCCAGGTAAGTGACTGTAATGCACTCACGTAATACCTTTTTAGTCTCTGTTTAGCTAAAAAACCTTGGTTTTTGGCTATTGTTCTATTTTAAATTCTAACTTGAATTAAGATTTCCGATCAAACAAATAGGAAGCAATAACCAAATTATGTAAACTTGACATAGAATATGGATATCATATATGCGATGGCGTTAATAATAATGACGGGAGAAATCTACTATTCTATTTTAAATTCTAACTTGAATTAAAGAGTCAAAGATTTCGGATCAAACAAATAGCAAGCAATAACCAAACTATGTAAACTTGACATAGAATATGGATATCATATATGCGATGGCGCTAATATTAATGACGGGACAAATCTCTCCGCAACTGCCCTATATTGTTTTCCTTTCGTTGTAAACTTCCTTTACGAGTTTGTTATATATTGTGAACTTGGTAAAAAAACTTGTGTTTAAGATTTATATAGATAGATGGCTCTGTCAATGGTGAAACTGGTGGAGGTGAAGAGAAAGAAATGGCAGTCCAAGATCAAGGGGCAGGTTTTAGCGATTTTGGGCAGAGTTTTATTAGCTTGTCGTAAGAAACAAGAAAGGAACCAGAAGAAACAAGAAAACGCAAACCCTAGCTTACCGGATGACCTAGTAGAAGAGATTCTTCACCGTCTTCCTGTGAAAACGTTGGTAAGATTAAAATCAGTATCGAAAGAATGGAAATCAATGATGGAATCGAGCTATTTAGCAGAGAGACACCTCCGTTGTCTCGTCCTTGAGAAAAAGTATGAAGAGATGAAAATCACTGTTCAAAAGTCGAAAAACAGCTTGTGTGTAAAGTTTTTCTCGAAATGCGGAAGAGTAGTGAGTTGTGAGGGAAGTTCAGAAGGTCGTGTTCGAGTTGCTGGTTCTTGTAATGGTTTGGTCTGCGTACACGAGTTGGATTCCGTCAACGTTTATCTATGCAACCCAATGACAGGTGTGACACGGACACTTACTCCTCCTCCTGATCATGCTAATTACAACAAAGTTTCAGTTGGGTTTGGGATAGATGTTGTGACGGGAACATACAAAGTGGTGCTTTTTTATTACGGCTTCTTCAGATTATTGGAAACATTGGTTTTCGATTTCGGCACTAGCAAGTGGAGGCCGAGGCACAAAACCGCTGGACCGATCCCACTTTCTTGCGTTCCAAGTCGTGATAGAAACCCAGTCTTTGTAAACGGCTCACTCTTCTGGTTGTTGGAAAATGACTCTTCGGAGATACTAGTTTTGGATCTTCACACTGAAATGTTCCGTACTTTGTCCACATCCAACGATATGGGTGTGTTATTGGGTGACATTTACATTTTCAGTTTCGAGAATCGTCTCTGTTTCTTTCATTTCAGGCAGATCTTTAGATTCATGCCAGCCGCGTCTCCGGATTACGTGTGGGTTCTTGTAGAGGACGAGAGGTGGGAGAGAATTACATATCGACGCTTAGGTATCCGTAATCCTCCAATAAGCTTGGATTCAGCTTGGTTTTCACAGACCTTAGTTTCTCCGTACCAGTCCTCGTCTAGCACATGTATCATCGGTTATAGACAAAGTCAGTATCTTCCTCTCTCTCATTTATATTACTTGCTTCTCAATCAAGTAAACAATTTTTTTTTCAAGATTTTTAAAGTATTTTTCTTCTTCACATGTGTTGATTTCAGGTGATGGAGATACGAGAGTCATGGACGCGCCCATCGAGCTAATGATACCTTTGTTTTAATTTAAAAATGTTTTCTTGATTAATTACTTCTACGTTGACTATATAATAACCTTGGAAGAGCTACTAGTTTTCATTGATCGCGTCTAGGGTTTTGATATGCCTACTATATTCGAACTTCTGATCCTTTTTGCACTCTTTAGAAACTTAATTTTGAATTTTTGAGGCCTAAAAGTGCTTGCATGCTACTCTTAAAACCCTTTAATTAAGAGTTTATTCGTTGCGCCTTTCCCTTCTCCTTGACGTTTTCTTAAACGTGTGCACTGATCAAATCACTGGAAAGTGATGAATTATTATAAATGGTAAAATAACAATAGAAGAAGAAAAAACCAAAGGTGTACTATATAACCTATACTATTGGGACCATTCTACTATTGTTGTCTTTGTCTTCATTTTCACCAGACATTTCCTCAAGCGACTTTCCTTTAGCTTCAGGCACCAAGAAAGTGAAGAGAAAACCCAAGAAGTTAACCACACCTAACACAATAAGTGAGTTCCTGACCCCAATCCCTGGAGGGTATCCTGCATCTGTCTTGTCCTTGTCAGGACTTTGAGACAAGTACAAGAACCCAAAAGCACCAACTATAGCACCTACTTTTCCTGACGCTGCAGAGATACCATGGCATGTGGATCTGAACCGAGCCGGGAATATTTCAGCCGCTACGATGAAGGTTGTAGCATTAGGTCCAAAGTTGGCGAAAAAGAATGTTAACGAGTACATGATAACAAAACCGATTCGATTCTCCTTGTGAGTCCAGTGGTTGTAGGGTATGGCTAGAGCAAACATAAAGACCATCATGAAGAAGAATCCCATTAACTGAATCGTGAATCTTCCAATGACATCGATGAACGCAACTGTAAACCAGTAACCAGGTATCGCACTACACAAGGCTATGATGGTTTGTGCACATGCGATCTTGAACACTTCTTGAATCGCGTTCATGGTTTGAGCTGGAGGAATCCACCCAATTGCGCTGTAAATATCCTTCTGAAAGAGGTTTTGACTGAAGAAAGCAATGTCGAGGAGGAACCAAGTTGATGTAGTGCCGAGCAAATGAAGTCCATGACGTTTCATAAATTCCTTGGAAAACAAGGAAAACTCTTTGGACGTCTCGTCCACTTTCTCATGCTCTGTCTCTATCTCCACTTGCAAAACCCTAGACATGTCTGAAGCAGCTTGTTTTACATCTTTAGCAACCAAAGCTGTGTACCTTGCGGTTTCCGGCATCTTGGAACGTGAGTAATACGTCATTGCGGCAGGGATAGCACCAACCATCAAGATTATACGCCATACAAAATCCGCTTGAGATACCGTGGATCCCAAGGCATCATCCGCATAGGCTGGCGCAGGGAACTTTGCTTCAAAAACAGAGGAAATAATAATAGCAAAGATGCCACCAGTCATGATACCAAACCCTTGCATAGCGAAAACCGCAGCAATAAACGCACCACGAGTCTTCTTGTTAGCGTATTCAGACATGATCGTTGCTGATAAAGGATAGTCACCACCAATCCCAAACCCTAACCAAAACCTAAAAAAACATAGCGTGGACATCACGGTTTTTGGCTTGTGTCCGAACGAGAGACCGGAGGCTACGGAGCAAATGATCATGACCATCAAAGTCATACCATAAACTTTCTTCCTCCCTAGCTTATCTCCAAGCCACCCGAAAAAGAGCTGACCAACGATGGTCCCACAGAAGGCAACGCCGTTTACGGCAGCAGCAACGTTAGGAGGGAGAGTGCCGGGCTTCGGAGAGCCTTCCACGTGGTAGTAAATACGGCCAAGGAGTTTGGTGACAAGAGAGATGCAAAAGAGATCGTAAGCGTCGGTGAAGAATCCCATTCCGGCTATTATAATAGCCGTGAAATGGTACCATTGCGTCTTTGCTACATCAAGTGCATTCAACACTTGTAACTGATCACTTGCCATTCTTCTTCAGCTCTGTAATTTCACCAAAAAAAATCAATTATTAACTTAGTAATACTATAAAACCCTAGAGAGCTCTGCCGCAAGTTCCGCCGTTCCGAATGGATCTCCACAGTTCCAGCTCTGCCGCTCCTCCAGCCTCCGTTTGAAGATGATCTGCTCCTCCCCCATGGCCTCGATGGTGACTTCTTCTCTGTCGCGAGCCAGGCCTCCTCCAGACCCGCCGCCGTCATCATTGTGTAAGCTCTGCTCGTTTAAAGCTCGCTCTCTCTTCGCCTCTCCAGACGTCTCCCTCCTCCTTGGTTCCGTCGACCCCGTCGTCTCCTCCATATCCTCCACTTGCGTCGAGTTTCCGCCAGATCCAGATCTAGATCCAGATCTAGACCCGTTTTTCACCTCCCTCCGGGACTTCCTCGTCAGCGTCTCACCTCCAGACCCTCCTGACCCTCCAGATTTGATCTCTTTTCCATGGCGACGACTTGCCTTCTCTATTTCTACTTCTTCTCCTCTAAGCTATGTTTGGGTCTTACCCAACTTATTCGCTAGGAGTGTTGAAGAGTGGTTCTACTCCCCCATCATCTCCATACCCACAGGTTCCTATTTTGCCGTTCAGTGTTGTTGCTCCGGGGATGGTAGGGGTCTCCATGTGTCCGATAGTGACACCTTTCCTGTGGTATACAGGTCAATACTATTTGGGAATGATGACGAGCCTTTTGATCTTCCCATCACTCCTTACTGTAATGTTCCTCACTATCAGCTTAGCTCTTTAATTTCCTCTCATTCGGCCAATGTTGAATGGTTTAGACAGCTGATGGGGTGGGTGAGCTTTGAATCAAGTTTCAGCCCGTTATCCGGTGATATACCGATGAGCTTTGATCCATTTGTTTCTGTCTCTACGATCTTTAGATGCTCTTATCTCGCCTTGACGCGAGTGTCTGCAGTATGCATGATTATATATTGCTGTGTTTTAACTGTTGAGGTATATGTATGGCTTTCTAACCATGAGTGGCAGGTTGGATATAAAAGCATCAGCATGTGTCTCAGTACTTTGTACCAGATTTGCGTGGTCTCTCGAAGACCGATTCACCTTTTTATGGAGCTTAATCTCCGCCCCAATCGCTCACTGAGTTTAAGTGATAAACTTCTATGGAGCATTATGTTGATGGAAGCGCTCTGTTTCTTGAGTTCGTTGAATATTTATCCTGATGCGCAAGATTCGCCGGTATGGCAACGTTTCTCATCCCAGTATCATGACCTCATTGCCTTTGTTGCAGAGGGTCTAGCCTTTTTAGGCATGTCAAAGCTTGTCTGCAAGTCAGACTGTCATGAACTCACTTGCCTCTTTCCAGAGATTTGGCCTTTTGATGTTCTTGGATCTTATTCGCTATTCGATCCTCTATCCTATGTTATGTGTTTTCTTATGCTTGTAATATGGCAAAATTGCCTTTCTGACTTTGTATTTCCTCTGGTGATGGAGGTTAAGACTTAAGATTAATGAAATGTTGTTTGTCCAAAAAAAAAAAAACTTAGTAATACTATGAGTGTTAAAAAAACATTATGAGTGTTGTAAGATTGACTTATGAATCATACGATTTTAAAAGAAAATAGAATAATACATTTAAACTCCACTTGAATTTCATGGAACATCAATATAGTGTATGAATTTTATTTTATTTTTCTCACATCGTTGATCTCACATTCACAAGCCATAAAGTATCTTGAGCTAATATTAAAAAAAAAATGTATAATCAAGTTTGCATAACTTTTGCAAAAAAAAAAATACAGGAGGTGGTAACTGGCATTGGTAAACTACATGAGTACACTTTACTAGTATAATCAAGTTTGCATAACTTTTGCAAAAAAAAAAAAAAATGTAGGACTGTTAAACTTGAAAACTAAAAAATAAAAAAAAATTGAAACAAAATGAAGTGATGATGAATGTCTTTTTTTTTAATGAATGTTAAATTTTATTCAAACAAAAAAACCCCTTTTGTTTATGTGTTGGAGATTTTGATAAACTATTAGACAAACATGAAAATACTTATGTGTAACTTGTATTCAAAAATTGGTTCCTAGTTTAATCAGAAATGATTTTCTATTATTTTGGTTTCTTTACGCCAGTGTCTATTTCAATTATTTTACATAAGCTTGATTTGTATTATATTGTATATTTAGTTATTAGATTTAATATTTTGAATATATTTTTTACTAACAAGATATTATTCTATATAAAAATATACATATCGACAACGTAACTTAAGAATTATTGTTGTACCGTACGTCCGTACCTTACTCATAATCTTCACCGTTTATTTTGCAGTATCAAATAGTATATTATATTAACCATTCATACACTTACATGACTTTTAACGATTTTTTTTTCTTTACTCTACTCTAGATACCCCCATGGGTTGACTTGTGTGACATCTGAATCTGAACACAAGGATACAAAAACTTATGTGAGTAAGACAGCAACTTGCTGTAACTGCCGAGAAGATTTACTCATCAAACTAAACATTTCTTCACATTATATTTTTCTATTGAAGTAACATTATTTTCGTGATTAGTTTGTTTGTGAATCATTTGTACCATGCACCCAAAAAATTCTTCTATTCATGAAAAGATAAAATCCAACAAATACATTCCAAGAGAACTAATCCTAATTAATGATCCAAGAAAGTTGGAAAACACCCAAACAAATGAAGCTCAAATTGGTCCAAAATCATTACCGGCACCAAACCGAGATAAAAGAGGCAGAGTGGAGAACATAACCAAAGAAAATGATATCGGGCTAACTGACATCATTTTGCATCCATACAAAAAAGGATTCCATCAAATTTTACATAAACATCCAAAACATGAATGAAAAGAAATACTTACATGACTATACAACAACCTTGTTTACGAGTGTGGGGTCTGATTTGATCTAGTGTTTAAAGTATACACTCAGAAGAGTGTAGAGAGACAGAGGATCTGCAGATGTAGAGAGAGGGAGAGGAAGTGAAATGAGCGTTGAAGCTGCTAATGTACAAGTAACCAATGACATGTGCAAGCCTTTTGAAAAGGCCATTTATAAGCGACTCTATTCTATTTTCTGTTTCGATATAATCTCCCTCCACCGACGCCGTTTTGGCTGTCTCAAGAGTTTTTCCTTTTTTGTTACCAACTTTTATTTTACTTCGTTAGGTATTATTAGGACTGGATGCTTCTGTTTTACTCAGTACCGGCTCTGAGGGGAAGCATTACAAGCAACCGCTTCCGGCCCTTAAAAAATATTTGAAAAATTCAGTCTTTTGTATAAGAAAATTATTATTATAATATATAAACGTTCTTATAAAAATGGCCAATTTTTTGAAAATTGCTTCTGGTTATTCCCATGTCAGAACCGGTACTGGTTTTACTGTAATTATTCTTTATTAAAAACAGCTGTTCCAGTACTACAATACTAATGAGTTTTTATTTTCTTACATTACATGTACTTGACCATGCATTGTTTTTAGATATACGGAGCTTTGAAATGCTTGGAAAACGCAAATATTTAAAATTTTGGGATCTTCGCCATTTAATACAATCACTAGATACCTATCCCCTGGCATTCAGTTTGTCAAGCCCATTTCTGAAAGAACTATTGTTAAACTGACGGAAGGCATCCTATGGTTAGGAGTTATTAATCTTGTTTCCAACAAGATTATATAAAACTTTTTTGGAGAATTAAATACTACACAAAACTTTATAATATATAATGCGTGTACGCATGTACGAGGTTGGCGACAAGCGCTGATAGTTCACACGCCCCAAATTAACTGGCTTATAGAATACTACTTTTTAGCTTAAACTCAAAGTTGCCTCTCTTCGACCGTTCGTTGCATCAAAAAGCTTACGGATTCGGAGTTTCACGTAACAAAAGTTATTTGGCCTCCTGATTCTGCAATGTTATACGTAATTTTTGCAGCAGAAGTAGCCAAAATAGTTCTATTGAAACTAAACTACTACTTATAATTCGTATAACTATAAAACTATAATGTAGGAGAAAAGACATACGTATACAAAAAAAAATCGTACGTATCAATTAAACTGCAGTTAGACACTCTTTTTTTTTTGAAAGAATGTTAAATTTATTCATATCAAAAAAACCTTTTTACAACATGTGTTTCTTGTTTAAAAGTTTATGAAAAACTTCCTATAAAATCAAATTTGTCTACAAACGGACTGTAAAAAATCAAAGAAACAACTGCAGTTAGACACTCAAATAAGGAAGCCCAAATAAACCATGAACAGTCCACAAAAGTGGGAAAACATTACACCCACCTGTAGTTCAGTTGAACCTGACAACTATAAAGATCTGATCTGAAATCAATTCTGATTTTTTCCACAGCATTAAGACATCGGCAGATCACACGGGAAACAACTTAACTTGCTAGAAATAAGAGAAAAATTATACTCCCTCTGTTCTTAGAAGATAGACTTTCTAGTGTTTTCACACATATTAAGAAAACACATTAAATCACTATCGTTTTCAAGAATTTTCAATTTTCAACAACTTTTAGCCAATAGTAATCTAATAAAACCAATTAATTTTTTTTGAAACTTGTAATTTTCTCATAGAAAACATAGAATATACATCTTTTTGAAACAAAATATTTCTCTAGAACATGGATCTTTTAGGAACGGATGGAGTATTAAATAGAATTGAATATTTTTATTTATCAGACATTACTTTCTAAACTTTTGATTTGAACTTTGATTGATATTTTAACAATATATAGCCAATCAATACTAAGTATGTGCGTTTATAGCTAAGGGAGATGTATTAAGATGTTATATTAATATTAATAGTTTTATATTAATTTGATAGCCAATTAAGCTGGATATTAAAGAGTTTAATTCATAATTATTTTAGAAGATAAATAATAATAAACTTAAGAGAACAAGTGCTAAAAATATTTTATCTCTATTTTACAAAGAATGTCGTTTTGACATTTTTTCTTTTTACATAAAAATGTCATTTTACAATTTTAATGCAAGCTTTTTTGACGACATGCAAGTTATATAACTTTTTTAATATTATTTTAAAATATATTTATTTTATAAATAATTTTATTTATCTCAGATACCATTGGTTGAATAGATATAAAAACATAAATGAATTTCAAACATTTATAATCTATTTAAAACTATCAAAATGACAATGTTCATGAAACAGAGGGGATACATGATGCATAAAGTAATGGCATGAGAAAAAAAATCTGTGAATAGTTTAGATACCATTCTTTTTTTTTTTGCAAAAGGTTGCTTTTTTTTTATCAAAGCTTTGCAAAAGGTTGCTAAGCCATGCATTCTTTTATAGATGAATGTGTCACACATGCCATGCTAAAGAGTCACCGTTACATATATATTTGCCCTCACATTTGTCACCAATGCCTTCATCTCTACTTTGATGAATAACTAAAACTGAATCCAGTGCAAAGCCTAACAAGGAATGAGGTCCTATCTTTTTCAATAAATAGATGTCTTTACTTCATATCACAGACACATTAACAAAACAACACTTAAAAGTTTATTGGAAAGGAATGAGCAACCAAAAATTCATATCTAAAGATGAAAAAATAGTATATGTTTTCCAAGCAAGGAACCATTATTCAAAAATCTCCACTTCTACAGTGAATGGAAATACTACATTTACACACTTTATGATTCTAGATGTTTAAAATTCTTAGGTTCGCATAAGATTACGTTTTAGAGTGTTTCAGAAAAGAAGTGCAAATAATTTTGTACTTGAGTTCTCTACCTGGTAGCTTTGATCATCTATGTTAGATTCGGGTTGATTATGGGCTTCCAACTTAAAATCAATTGGTAATTAATGGTTGGCCCAAGTCCCTTATATATTATTCATGTCCCATTCATATTTCCAATGTGGGATCTTTAATCCCAACACCCTCCCTCGAGATAATGGTGCGTATAACCATTAATCTCGCATAATCCATCATACCCCTACCGAGACAATGCTTTTATTTTTCTTCTAGCAATCTCGATAGAACTGAGCCTTCTCTGGGCCATCAGTTAATGGGTTGATCGGACCACTTTCTGGGCCGGATTAATGGGTCAGGGTGTGGGCCGGCTCTGATACCATGTTAGATTCGGGTTGATTATGGGCTTCCAACTTAAAACCAATTGGTAATTAATGGTTGGCCCAAGTCCCTTATATATTATTCATGTCCCATTCATATTTCCAATGTGGGATCTTTAATCCCAACAATCTAGCATACTCTTAATCTTAAGTAGGGTAGAGATTCTTTACACTAGACGAAGTTATTTTGCTGGGTAAGTCAAGGAAAATAAAGCTTGCAGAGACTAACAAGATGAGAAAAGGTCAAACTACTGTTCTGTACAAAAACCAAAATGCAAAATATTACAGTAAGACAAAAACCAAAATGTGAGCTGTAATACAAACAGTAGGACAAAAACCAAATGTGAAATTAAAGTTTTATACATTAAAGTTTTATACATTCAAAACTAAAGTGGTTTTTGTTTGTTTTTAATAATATTCCTCAAACTTTGTCCTATTATCCACTTCTTATCCCCCTCCAATGAGTGTCCTCCTCACATTATACTTTTGAAGTTAATTCCATATATATATATATATATATATATATATATCAACTACAAAAGACCTAAATTCCATAAAATTATGTAACATATATAGTTATAATTAATTTTAAATAATTTAGCAACACTGTAATGTCATGAGGGTATATTTTACGAGATGATGAGAAAAAGTAGACAAATTAAACGATCGATACAGAAGCAGAGAGTTGAAGAAAAACGAGTGAATTAAGGGAAAAAAGCAAACTTAACGGCGTCTGAGTTGTGTCCCTTTTTCCCCGTCATCTAAACATTGACACTGCATTGATAGTCCATAGTGTACTTAACGGCACTTTCTCCGACATGAGCTCCGTTAGATTTATCAGCAAGATTGATAAAAGCCTGACAACGAACATGTAGATGATACTTCCCGGTAATAAGAGTCCCCACCTTCCATCTCACGCGCCCATCAGCGCGTATAACCAACTCAACAAACCCACGACTCTGCTCTTCTCCGAGAGTGACGGCGTTATAAGGAGCAATAGGGACTTCGTTTCCGTAGATAATAGGAGACCAGACACTGTCTTCTTTATGCCCTTGGTAAGTCGGAGGAATGGCCGTAGGGTAAGTGATCTGCTGGTTACGGTAAGTGGCGTAGACGTGAAGACGGTCGTAGTAGATTCCGATCTTGGAGTTTCGGTTTCGTGTGACGAGTGTGACTTGGAAGTTTGATGTGAGGAGGTTAGGTTGCGTGAGGTTGAAGGCGAAGACGGTGGCGTCTTGGAGGATGAATCTTGGTTTTGTTGGTTGGAGGATTAACCAGACGAGGAGGATTGCTAACAAGACGATGATGATGAAGCCGATGATGGCTCCACATATTCTCCCGACGGTTCCTCCTCCGCCTCCGCCGTGCTTCTCACAGTCTCTAGACATTAGTGTTTGTGTGATGGATTGAGAAGATGTATGTGTGATGGAGAGCTAAAGCCTAAAGGCATGTGGTTTGTATTTATATTTTGTAATCAGAACTAGTATAGTTTCAAAATGTTTGTACACTTAGCTTATGCTTTAACTAAAAAATGAAACTGTGGTTACAATTATATATACATAGATAAATTTTCTTTAGGTTTTTGTCACAATAATTTCTGTAGGTTATATTTTGTCTTTTCTACGTAAAAAATGAAATTGATTATTTGAAAGTTTTGCATTCTAAAAGTTACGTGGAGAAAGTGCATGTGTGAATGTGAATTAGTATTTAAATCGATATATGTAACATAAATGTGTGGATATGAATTTGTAGGGAAACAAAAGGTATGGACATAAATTCAATATTCTTTAAAGGAAATGGTATTTAACTTTTAGTATGGTTTTACTTTTATGATTTTATCTAACCCACCAATTATAGGAGGGTGGAAGGTTGGGTTCCTCTATAATTGATTCAGCTAAAGTTAAATACAAGGAAATGGTGCATGTGCATATGTTAATTAATTGAATGTGTAAACTCTAAAAGTGTAAAGTCTAAATGTTATTCTGTATGCAGACTCTGCTCTATATAGTTAAAAGTTAAAACCACTTTGCATAGTGCGTTTCCATGCACCTTGATTAATGTGATCCGCTCTTCTCTACGGTTCAAAACGGTAGCCCAGCTTTATACTATCTTTGGACTTAGCTGAAATGAAGAAAACACATCATTTAGTTGGAGAATAATCGAATAGCTAATGGGTTGAAAAAGTTTATGAAATTCGTTGAAACGTGAGTGAATAGTATAAAAACGTGAGTGTATAGTAAAAAACGTGAGTGGATAGCAAATAAGTGGCTAAAATGCAAAGAGAAAAAAAATATCTAGGGGGATAAGACTCTGAAAATGCTTCAGACCTTAATGGGTTTGAGAAAATATCTCCACATGCACATTTGACTATATTAATGTGACATTAGTTGGTTTCTTTGCTTGGAAAATATGCATTAAAACTTCATTTTCTTGGGAAATTGCTTTTTTTGGAGAACACGGAAAATTACATTAAACTCTTTTGCTTCGAAAATTGCATTAAAAGACTCACCATTGAAATTACTTGCACTTGAAACTTTGGAGTTTCATTAGAATTTGGTTACAGTATGAAAATTTCATCAAAAGGTTTGATTCACAAGTAACCAAATGATCAAGTGCGGATGAAAAAATCAAGGACAAGAGTTCGAGTGTCACAAAGTTTTTTTGGTCCAATAATTTTTGACATTGTCTTTTAACTGTGTGCCAATGTTTTGTTCGTAGGATCATATCATATGTAACACATGGTGGCTCGTCAATAGAAGGTTCATCTTTAGTTTATTGACGCTTTTTTTTTTTGGATCTAAGGAACAAGAACTTGTTGATTGACGTTTCAAATGCTCATAATAATACATCACCAAACGGTGATCATGAAAGAGCACAAACTGTTTGACACTTTGACCCAAAAACGAGCCCATTAAGCGAAGGCAACGTACTCCACTATCTCACTCGCTCATTAAGCGCGTGAGTTCAATACCACTCCCATTATCATATGTCTACGTGTACGAATGGATGCTTCGCATTGAGTTATCCGTTGGCGCGTGTTTCATTTGGGCTTTAAACCTTGGGCCCAAACGGGCTTTCTTTCCGGGTGGAAAAGAAAACTCTTCTGAGGCTCACTAGGAGACGACTGTGTTGTAGGATTGTCATCCAATTGTTTTTTTTTTTGAAAAATTTTGTCATCCAATTGTTACATGTATTTCAAGCTGGTCCTGGTTCGCTAAAAGACTTGGGAGGCCAAAAATAATTAGGAACTGGGGCATAAAATTCTAATAAATGCATCAATGAGTGGCTTGGATGTAAGCCAGTAATGTAAGTCAGAACAATCAAACGTTCAGCACAGGTAGTCAGGTCTAGATTATCTCAGGAATGGGTATGTGATTGTCCATCCGGAATTATTGTTTCGGGATCATCCCTAGGAAAGATATTTTCTAACGTCTGAATTTGAATTTTTATTTTGAACATATAACTTCATAGAATTAACGACTACTCTCTAGATAGTGGGATTTTACTTTGTTTCTGTTAAAGTTTCGCACGGTGTTTCAGCAAAAAAAATAATAATAAGTTTTGCACGGTGTCAAACTGTCAATCACCCAGATGAAATCTTGACATTGTTTGTATTAAAATATGCCATGCAAATGGGACGACCGATTAAAGGCACAGTTCTAGAATAGCATGATACATCCCAAAGGACCATCACAGTGTTTTTCTGCCTTCCATCAGCAGAAAACATGTTTGATTTGCCAATATTTTCATATAATAGGGTAGGTCTAAATGAATCACTTTTGATTTATTTTATCATCAAATGTGAGTTGAATAATATCGAGATGATATATATATTTATCATGGGGTTGGACATAAGAACATGTGTACACTTTTGTAGTACTTATTAATACATACATGAACCTAAATACTGATTATTTCACCTAAAAGATACGATTAGAGATCCGATAGCTGTATGGATAGGGAAAAGAAAACAAAACGAAGTCATAGGTAAAGGGAAAAAATTATTTTCTGGCAAGGAAAACGTCCAAGCAAAATTCCTTTTTGGGCATAATTCACTAGAATTTATGATTCGTACGACACTGTAAACTTTCTCACGAACTGACCACCAGAAGTATGACTTTTTACAGTTTATGAACATTGGAAGCACAGGTTACATCAACATGGAATATGACTTTATAAGTTTCCATACATATAGATTTCTATTTAATCTATTTAGTACAAACTACTCACTTTCTCATGACATGTGTTGTATTCTGTGAACCTTAATCCTCAATCAATTGAAAAGATAGGGGAAAGAGGATGAAGATATTTGCATTGCAATTGACGTTGCATTTTATTATAATTTGAGTTATTCAAAAAAAATTGGTAAAATGATACTAATAATAAAAATAAATTAAAAAGAAACATGTAGGATACCACACTATGTTGTTGTAATGTGAAAGTTGGAATCTCATAATTGAACAAGAATATAAATATATAAAAGATGTTTACAACTTGCTCTTCAAAAAAAGTAATTGCTAAGGCCCCATATCCCTTCTATAGTATTCCCCCCATTCATGTTCTCATTTCTAGTTTTCTTACTTTGAGTTTATTTTAATTATTTTTTATAGGATAGAACATTACTACATACTTTTTTTCATACACAACTTTGGAACTACTTATATATATAGATATGTAATACTTTGGGGTATGACATGATGGCAAGATCACTTTACCCTTCAAAATATCGGTAAAAAATCATATCCCTCATGGGATCGAACCCTTGCTTCCTAAATGAATTCTTCTTTATCGTAGTTATATGGATTTTTCTCGAATATGTATAGTAGACCGATACTAAGCCTAAGAAGAATAACCTTACACTCAGGATCATATATATATGGATTATATATGGTTGTATGTTCTACTTTTCGTTAGAGAAGACTAATATTTTGGAAATACAAATTGTGAATCTTGGCATTTTGCAGAATCGTGCATTCATATGATGGGCACTGCATTAAGTAATATCACTGCTTCAGAGTATAGACCACTATAAAATGTTCATATGTATGTATACGGGTGATGAAATACACCAAGACTATACATTATATATTGCGAAATATATTTATCCTTTAGTTTGTATCACATAAGTTGTCTTTTGCTCATTATATATTGTTTGTTCAGTCTTCTCCTTCTAATGATAGGAAAAAGTTCATTTTCAAATCTCATAGCTTTATGAATTTAAGTATTATTCTTGAAGTGCTATGCTTGTCAAAAATGAAACAAAAGATTGACATGAGAGGCATGTTTAACAAATGATTCTGATAGTGAAGTGAATATTTCCTATTTTATATGCACACACATGCATTGATACACATATACATATACCCAGAAGTACAGATCTAGAAGATATAGCATAGATATATATTATATACATGGCTTTTATGAGGGACCCAAACTCTATTAAACCAAAATTCATGCTTCATATGTTTTTTTATCAAAAACTCCGCACTCAGAATTCTAAGCCGATAAAGGATAAACAATATGAACGATCTAACTTTCACTTTTACCAAATGCATATATGTTGATCTCTCTTCAGAATCTTGTGGTCATATCATCATATCCAGAAAATAATTTAATATTTTAGTAAAAACTTCCATAAATTCACCTCAGCTAAAAATAAACTATTTCATGAATGATGCTTCTGTCAATCTATGTCCAAAATCTATTTAACTAATATAGTAGGAGATAGATTTAAGAAAAAAATTCTCAGCTAGAATAAATGCCAATAAAGAAAAAGTAGGAGATAGATTTAAGACAAGGTTAGCCAAACTATATTCATTGGTATAGTTGTTTAAAAAATAAATTAATATTTTACAAAATTAAAAGGATTTACTGAGTATCTGTAGCTGATGATGCCCTTAGACTGTTAGTCACCAAACTCCCCCGTAATAATATGCAAAAAAAAAAAAAAAAAAAAAAAAACAAGGTCATTCGATTTTCATATCCAAATATGAAAATCAAATTTTTAAAGCAAATTTAGAATTATAAAAGCCTAGTAGTGTATCAGTTTACTGTTAGAGTTAGGCAATAATTGTGGTGTAGCCTTTTTGAGTCTTGACCTATTTATTAAAGGACCAATGGTAGCCTTGTCCTTCACCCAAATTTCTGCACCTTAACATTCAATGCTGTCCCTATGAACTATGACCTAAAAAGGTCTGAACGCTTTGGCAAGCATGTTTTCAATTATAATTTACGAAAGGTCATAACTTTATTTTTATCATGTTATGGTAGTATTTATCAATAACATATACTCTATGACTGCAAACAATGTAAAATTAGAACAAATACACTACTGATGCTGACTAATGCAGTATACATCGATATAAAATTGCGTAGTAATTAAGGTCACTGATAAGATATGTAAAAATATTCATAAATATTTTCCAGAGTTTTTGGATTTAAGAATATATGCTGTTTATGATAGATGTCAGTATTCCTAAAAATAATTTGGTGTCATGAGTTTGAGTAGAATGGTTATTGACTTATTGGCTAGAGACATGAAT